TGTTGGTGGAATATAAAACAATGCAGCAGCTATAAAGTGTTTTTGTTTTCTCACCAAAATGAAAAATGAAATCACAGGGCCAAGGAGATGGCGCAAAAGGCTGAAGCACATGGTTAGCCTGGTCTTCTGAGCACCAGAGAAAGTTATTTCCAAGCACCATGCCAGAAGTAGCTCCTGAGCACAGCCAGGTGATCTCAATTTTTTAAAAATTAGTTTTAAATATTTGGCCATGAATGTGGCTCAGTGGAAGAATGAATGAATATAGGAGGCTGTAAGTATAGCTCAGTTTGAGAGTGCATATTTCATATATGTGAAGCACTAGGTTTGATTCCCAGTACTGCTATTTTTAAATAAAATTAATTAATTTATATTATTAGTTTCTGGGCCACACTGGAAGTGCTCAGGGGTCACTTCTGACAGTGTTTGGGAGACCAAGCAGTGCCAGGGATCAAACCCTGTTATGCATTCAGTTTACTGAGCTATCTCTCCATGCCAATTCCTGCCTCCTACCCTGATTTCTTAAATGTTTTTTAGTAGCTTTGTTTGTATTATTGAAAACCTAGAAACCTCCTAATGTTAAATTTTGGAATCTTCACATAACATGATACTATTTATAACAGCTAGGATAGTTGAGCTAGTTGTACTACTAGATTCTATTATTAGATTAATGTAGGTATACATTGATGACTATCTCCCTGTGTCTTCACATGGGATAAGGGACTCTATGATATCTCTTCTAAAAGGACTCTAACTCCATTCTTGGGAGCAGTGTTAATTTTCTGGCTTCCACATTGTTTTTAATATATTTAACGATAAATGTTATTACTTGATACAATGATATTACTTAATGCTATTTTTGCAGCTTCCCATGGATTGATATTTATTTATTTTTGGGGGTTGGTTTTGTTTTTGGATCGCCCACCTGGCAATTCTGCACTCAGGAAATACTCTCGGTGGTGTTCAGGGGACTATAAAGAACGCCAGGGATCAAACTTGGGTCAACCCTGTACAAGGCAAGTACCAATACGAGTTCAGGCCCCAGTTAATAATTATTTAAATATAAAAAAAATGAACTGTGAGAAAAATTCAGAGTAAAACCACAATGTCATCTTATACCCAAGATAGGATGTTCTCTATTAAAAAATAAAAGTATGGGGCTGGAGCGATAGCACCAGGTAGGGTGTTTGCTTTGCACGTGGCCCAACCGGGTTCAATTCCCAGCATCCCATATGGTCCCCTGAGCACCGCCAGGAATAATTCCTTAGTGCAGAGCCAGGAGTAACCCCTGTACATTGCCGGGTGTGACCCACAAAGAATAAATAAATAAAAGTACACACACATACACACACACACACACACACACACACACCAAAAAAAGTGGGAAAAAAAGTGAAAAAAAAAAGTTGAAGTGGGGAAATAGCTCAAAAGTTAAGAGGCCCTGGGTTTGATTTTTGGCACTGCATGGTTCCCTGAGCACAACTTGGATAGTCCTGTTGGCTCCAAGCATTGCTGGGCCTAAGCAATATGTGTTGAGTATTGTTGGAAGAGGCCCAAGGCACCCTCTGAGTACTGTTTGGCCACTTGCCCTCACAAGTTACTTTATGACCCAGCAATCTCACTTGCAAATATATATCAAAAAATGAACCCAGAATCTCAAATATTTTCACTCTATGTTCATGACAGCATTATTCACAATAGCCAAAACGTGAAAGAAATGTCCAGACGGAAAAATGGTGCACACATACAACTAAACACTAAGTTTCATAAAAGATATTTTTTCACATAGAACAGCAGTGATGGACCTTATACAAAGACATTATGCTAAATGAAATAAGCTAGTCAGAAAAAGAAAAATACTGTTATTCCTTTTTTTGTTATTCCATTTTTGAGGGCCAATATAAAATCATGTTTCTTTACTCCTTTGGTAATTCACTATCAAAATTTGTAACTTGCTGGTAGTAAACTAGTACTCTCACAGCTGTTATGATAAACAGCCAAAAAAAAAAAAGAAAAAGAAAAAGAAAATAACTAAAATAGCTAACTAAATTTCAGCTGGTGTCAAGAAAAGAATGAATTTATAATTGCCACCTTAGCTCTATCGCAGTTTTTTTAAAAAATTAGAAGATCTCTAGAGGGTCAGTGAGAGAGCTAAGTATAACCTTTACATGTGGGAGATCTGGGTTTGATCCTCAGCACCAAAGTCCTCCTTTGGGAGGAATCCCTAAGCACACAGCTAGGAGGACAGCCAGTCCACATATCCAATTGTGGTACAAACTGATTCACCCTCAAGCCCCCTCCCCCCCAAACCCATCCAGTCAGATAAAACCACTTCCAATCTTAAAATCAATTTTTTTTTTTTTTTGCGTCACAACCCACAACACTCAGGGGTTACTCCTGGCTCTGCACTCAGGCATTACTCCTGGCGGTGCTCAGGGAACCATATAGGATGCTGAGAATCAAACCCGGTTCAGCTGCATGCAAGGCAAACGCCCTACCTGCTGTGCTATCACTCCAACCCCCAAATCAATTCCTCTTTAATTAAAAAAACTGCCGAAGCAAACATTATTTGCCTATGAAAAGTACTATCCTTTTGCTTCCTAGTTTAGTGCCTGTCACAAAGTACCCCCCAGTTGAAAAAATTGTAACTGCACTTCACTAACCATTTATTAAACACAAAGAAAGCATTGTTTATGATTGCCAAATTCTGTATTACTGGTATTTTGTCATTTTATTCTTTATTTACAAATTACCTTTTACAATTTATTACCATAAATAATTATCACTAGAAACTTTCTTTATAAACATCATATAAATTTCATCTTGTTTATGCCTTGCGCACAGCCGGCCGGCCGAGCCAGGTTTGATTCCTCCACCCCTCTGGGAGAGCCCGGCAAGCTACCGAGAGTATGTGGCCCGTAGGGCAAAGCCTGCCAAGCTCCCCATGAGGTATAAAATATGCCAAACACAGTAACAAGTCTCACGATGGAGATGCTACTGACCCGCTACAGCAAATCAATGAACAACGGGAGGACAGTGCTACAGTGCATCTTGTTTATTATTAAGTACAGCACACACGTTCCTTCATACAATATTTAACTTTGTTGAAGTTACCAAATGATCTACTTTGGGAAAACATTAAACTAGGAAGTTATGTGACTAACAGTTCTGGCAAGTGCTAGAACACTCAGCAAAGTCACCGTCCAGTCACGCAATCTCTATCTAGAACATTCCACCAGTCAACATGACTTCGGGGAGCTGCCAGATGGAGAAACACGCTTAGACTTACGATTGGGAGAGAAAAAATCCATACTTTGTAAAATAAACATTAAAACAGCTACCTCCCATCCTCAACATATTTTTACAAAATGGTTTATCTCTCGGTATTATTCAGGTAACTTGCTTTGGGTAAATTTTATCTAATTTAAAACAGATTCGATGTTGCCTCATTATCTGCTGGTCCAGATCGAACGTTCCAATTTCTTAATGGCAAACTTAGAAACGTTTAGGTTTACTGACTAAAAGAGCTATGTCGCTCATTTATCGTGTTTATTTGCAAGTCTCTAGACAGGTATGCGTGTTTATTTACATCATGTCGATGACTCAGACTCGGGCGGCACAGCCTCAGCGCCTAGGCAGAGCTCCCTGCCCGACTCACGTTCCCGGCAATCAGTCTCTTCTAGACGAGCAGCCTCACCCTGGATGTTGGGAAAACAGCTCAGGGGCCCGAAGGGTTAATCCCGTCCTTCCTGTACCTCAAAACGAACGTTTGAATGGAAACGCTGCTGTCTTCTACGTCAATTACCTCTGAAATCGGTCTACACCGCCGTCATTCGTATTTTTTTCCCCTTTCACGGTTTAGAGGAGCCAGGAGGATTGGCAGGTACCGCCCGAGCTAATGCCTCTTCTGGAACCCCCGGCGCCTCACGGGCTGGAGCCTGTAGGCAGAGGATCCTAGCCAGAGTCGACATCTACAAACTCCCATATGAGCCCATTAAAAAATCGGGTTAAAAATGCAGTGTTCGAGCAGCGTCATCACGCTCCACAACCTTGTCTAACCACTACTAAAATGTACAACGCCAGTGCTGGAGGGGCGTGCGGCTTTCGGCTGGTTGGGGGGCGGGGGGGCATATGTGCACCGGAAAGGCGGTGAGGAGGGCCGCTCTGGCTCCCACGGACCTCCACACCAGGACAGAAGCTACCACCCAGAAACAAGCTATACTAGTGGCGGGGGGGGGGGGGGGGGGGGGGGGGAATATCACGGCTCTGTAGCTATAGAATAGGACCCCTCCGCCACCAGAACCGGAAGTACCCCCACTTCCCGAAGGCGCGCCGCTGCTCTGGGGCGCAGGCGCATTTTGTTCCTTAGCAACGTCAGCGCGAAAGGCCTCCAGCGGCGAGCCTAGCAACAACAAAGCTCTATCCCCGACCAATCAACTCCCGCCTTGCCTCACCCACCTCACCAATCAGCACCGGCGCCGCAAGGAAGTTTCCAGAGCTTTCGAGGAAGAGCCCCTTAACGAGAATTCATCCGCCTAATAATTTTCCCCTCTTTTCTTAGAAGAAAGAAAGGATCACCCTGCGATAGAAGACAGATTATATATTAGGATTATTTGTATCTGGTCTGACGAATTTGGTGTTTAATTGAAGGGCCAAATTACGCCTCAGGAGGTGTGGCTTGGAGAACTACTTTCAGTGGCGCATGAACACGACGGCTACGTAGAAGTGATACGTCACGTAACAGACGTTGTATAAATAGCCGCGCCGCGGCGCTACACCGGTTAGAGGCGACTGGCGTAGGAGGCTGCTGGTGTCTTCACTCTGTTGGATCGGCCTAATTGTCAGTTCGCGTAATCTTCCCTTTTTCTGACAGGTACTGGGCTAAGAGTTTCTGAGGTATTAGAGAAGTGGAACCGGAGTACTGTGTGGCTTCCGGGTGGTGGGTTTCTGAGCTTGGTCCTGAGGATACGGGTGGGGGAGGGGAGAAGGAGGTGACGCGGCGCCCGGCCTTTCCGGAAGAGGGGGCTGAGGGGGCTGGCCTTGTTTTACGTGTGGGGAGCGGGGCGGTTGGCGCGCGCGCGCGCTCCGACGGAGACTAACGGACTTTTAACCGATGGAGAATCCATCGCGTCGGCTTCAGAGGGGGAAGGCGGAAAAGAGGTGGGTAGTGTGGCTTGTAAGTGTCCCAGTTTCTGGCTCATCGTGAGGAAGATGCCCCACTAGTTTAAACGAGAATTTTCCTCTTAAAGCACGCGGCTCTTTATTTCGGCGGGCGTCAGAGAAAGGATTTTTCGTTTGGTGTAAATTTGGAGAACAATGAGATACCTGAAACCGTTTAGGGAGAAATGACTGGGTAAGAAATAACCTGAGTCAGCCGATTTTTAATCACCAGTCTATTTGCGTTGAATCTGTAGAAATAACCAGTGAATAAAAAGATTACCTCTAGTAAAAATACGGGAAGGTTTCTGGTAATCCCAACGTCCTCAAAGCCATTTTAAATGGTTGCTAGTGGAGTTGACAAGATGCGGTATTAAAAAGGGTACACTTTGTTTTTAAATTCTACAGGTCAAAATGCAGATCTTTGTGAAGACCCTGACCGGCAAGACCATCACCCTGGAGGTGGAGCCCAGCGACACCATCGAGAATGTGAAGGCCAAGATCCAGGATAAGGAAGGCATCCCCCCTGATCAGCAGAGGCTCATCTTTGCCGGCAAGCAGCTGGAAGACGGCCGCACTCTTTCTGACTACAACATTCAGAAAGAGTCGACCCTTCATCTGGTCCTGCGTCTGAGGGGAGGCATGCAGATCTTCGTGAAGACCCTGACCGGCAAGACCATCACCCTGGAGGTGGAGCCCAGCGACACCATCGAGAATGTGAAGGCCAAGATCCAGGATAAGGAAGGCATCCCCCCTGATCAGCAGAGGCTCATCTTTGCCGGCAAGCAGCTGGAAGACGGCCGCACTCTTTCTGACTACAACATTCAGAAAGAGTCGACCCTTCATCTGGTCCTGCGTCTGAGGGGAGGCATGCAGATCTTCGTGAAGACCCTGACCGGCAAGACCATCACCCTGGAGGTGGAGCCCAGCGACACCATCGAGAATGTGAAGGCCAAGATCCAGGATAAGGAAGGCATCCCCCCTGACCAGCAGAGGCTCATCTTTGCCGGCAAGCAGCTGGAAGATGGCCGCACTCTTTCTGACTACAACATTCAGAAAGAGTCGACCCTGCATCTGGTCTTGCGTCTGAGGGGAGGCATGCAGATCTTCGTGAAGACCCTGACCGGCAAGACCATCACCCTGGAGGTGGAGCCCAGCGACACCATCGAGAATGTGAAGGCCAAGATCCAGGATAAGGAAGGCATCCCCCCTGACCAGCAGAGGCTCATCTTTGCCGGCAAGCAGCTGGAAGACGGCCGCACCCTTTCTGACTACAACATTCAGAAAGAGTCGACCCTTCATCTGGTCCTGCGTCTGAGGGGTGGCTGCTAATTAATTTTTGGTCATGCATTTTTAGTGCCCAGTAATGGCATTACTCTGCATTCTAGCCATACATTTCGATTTAAGTTTAGAAATTACCAAGTTCAGTAATAGCTGAACCTGTTCAAAATGTTAATAAAGGTTTTGTTGCATGATAGCATATTTGGTTTGTGTCTATCACTGATGGGGAGGACTCCTACCTAACTGGTTAAAGTGGTCAGCAAATGATTGGATGTGCTAAGGTGTAAATACTGCTGATGTAATTTACAAGTTAGGATTCTGGTGTAATGGCAAACAATTTAAGAAGGTATTGTAGATCAGCATTTCTCAACTGGAGGCCATATGAGTCCCGGGGATATTTAAATGTGCCAATTGTGTAAAGGGTTGGGGGGTGGGGAGGAGATTGTTCTTTCAGATGTTACAAGCAAGGGGAGGAGATTGGTTCTTAGTATGTTACAAGCAGGCCATGGGTAAAAATGGCCACGAGGGCATACTGATTGATGGGAGGGCTAGGTCTCTGGGATATTTCAAGAGTATCACAGGTGAAAATGGTAGAAATGGGGGGCATGGTCCAAAGAAATGTAGGTTTTTGCAACAACTGGTTAATCAGGTTTGAGTGGCACCAATCTTCACCTGTATTACTGGTAGCTCAGGGAGCCCTAAGCAGACCCCCGCCCCCCCGCCAAAGAGGGTGTTAAGGGAAAGCAAACAACTTACCAACTTCTGAAACCAAACTTGGTTGAGGCTGAACTCTGCTTTCTCAACACCATTTGCTGTGTTTTTAAAAACAAGCATGTTACAATCAAGTGTTAATTTTAACATCTGCACTGTTGCACTGTCTTCCCATTGTTCATTGATTTGCTCAAGCGGGAACCAGTAACCTCTCCATTGTGAGACTTGTTACTGTTTTTGTCATATAGAATATGCCACTGGTAGCTTGCCAGGCTGTGCTGTGCCGGCGGGATACTCTCGGTAACTTACCTGGCTCCCTAAGGTCCCAGGGACGGAGGACTCAAACCTGGGTCAGCCACATGGAAGGCAAACGCCCTACCTGCTGTGCTATCACTCCAGCCCTTCGTGAACTATACCCCCAAATCTGTGTGAAAAAAGGCAGTCATTGAAAGATGGCATGGAAGAACTGGAGTTGGGAGACCCAGCAACCTTAAGGGCTGTCAAGTTTGCATGCTGAATTCCTAGGCTGGATCTCTGCTACTGACACCCTGTAACTTGATTGACCTTCATTTGTTAGGAAATGATTGATTCGTAACAGCATGACAGCTTTGTAATCATGGGAAAAGATTTGCAGCAGCAAATGAGATGGTCTAATTTGGGACTTGTGTTCAACTCATAGTCTTAGACCAGTAAAAGCCAGTTCCAAACTAAAAATTGAACTGGGAAAGGTACCCATTCAAATACTCTGGTACCGGGCAGAATACTCAGGTAAGGGGCAGAATAGGGCCTGAGTGATAGAACAGTGGGTACAGCGCTTGCCTTGCAATTTGACCAACTTAGGTTCTATCCCAACATCCCATATTGTCCCCTGAGCCCTGCCATGAGCGATTCTTAAGTGTAAAACCTTAGTTTTACACCTAAGTGTAACCCCTGAGTAAGCATCACTGGGTATGGCCCAAAACCAACAAAAAATTGGGGGCAGCTCTGTGAATGCATTGTTTATATTTGGGGAGGGGTGGGGGCCAACCAGGATTCTATGCCCTGGTAGGCTATGCAAGGCAAGAGGTGTACTACATTTTGTACCGTAGCGTCACATCACCACCCCAAGTTCTGTGGATTATAACCCTGAAAACATCTGAGCACTGCTTGGGATATCCTGGACACTACCAGCATTGCATCTGAGAACCTAAGCACTGATTGAGCCCAGTGTGCAGATTATCACTGGGAGTGGTCCCCCAGAATTACACACAAACGCACACAACACATGGGGAAAATGCTGTAAATTCTCACAACCTTTTACCGCATTACTATTTTCTGAAGTATGTAAGTACTGGTTTTCTACTTGGGAGGAATCTAGGAGTGGTGTAGGGTTGCAGGAAAACCCCATGTTATCAAGAAATTCATGGTAGGGAAATAACCTTGTCTGATCACAATGTAAAAATTGAAAAAGTCAAAACATTCAGAAATATGCCTTTGATATATTAGGTATATGTGATAGTGACTTGGTTCATAATTTGGAAACTCAGCAATAGCACAAACTGCCCGAGAAATGTGCTTTAAGTTTGAGTCTAAAGTTAAATTGGCGTAAACAGGTTTCTTGATAGGTTAGCCATTGAACATAGTTTTGAGTTTTCAGGCCTTTTGGTGAATTCTTAAGCAATTTGGAATTGTAAAAGAGAAAAAGAAGTAGAGGTTGAGGAGAATGTATAATTTAGGTGATACAGGAGACAGCAAGGCATGCACCTGATACCAATTCTATCCCAGGTACCACATGTCCCCTTAGGCAATGCTGTGTTTAGTCCCGGAGGCTCTCAAGCACCCTGGTTATCCCAGCACTGCAGGGCTGGAGAATCACCAGGGCTATCCTATTCCCTCACTCTGCACACACAAAGGGAAAACAAAATTCTTGAAAGTAGTTGGGATTGAGAAGTGAAACATCTTTAAAATATTATTGGATGTAAGAGAACATATTACACTGTTGTGCTGGAAGATAACATCCTCTCTAGTCACATTTTACAGGCCTACTTCTAACTAGACTAAGGGCTGGAAACCAAGCATACTGACTGCAAACTGACTTCAACGCTTTCTAATAGAGTTCATGAAGGTTTTTTTAAATTAAGGAACTCAAAGTAGTGCTTTTAATCTTTTTTTCCCTTAAAAATAATTTAATGTAATATTTCACTAGTTAGTTGGATTCTAGAGATTGTCTTACTGAGTACAGCAAGTAGGTTGCTTGCCTTGCACGTGGCTAACTTGGGTTCAATTTTCAGGACCCCACATGGCCCCTGCCAAGAGTGATCACTGAGTGCAAAGCCAGGAGAAAGCCTTGAGCACTGCTGGGTGTGACCCAGGCTCCCCCACCACTCCCACCCCCCCTCAAAAAAAAAAAAAAACAGAACAAAGAAGATTGTCAGGGCCAAAGCAATAGTAGGGCAGGTAGGGCATTTGCCTTGCATGCAGCTGACTTGGGTTCAATCCTTGGTTCAATCAGAGCCTTCCAGGTGTGACCCCTGAGTGCAGAGCCAGGAGTAAACTGAGCAGCACAGGTTGTGCCCCCCAAACATAAGAAAGATTGTCTTTACTCTTCCCCACACTTTATAAAGGAATTAAAGGATTAAAGTTTGTTCAGGGGCCACACCTGGCAGTGCTCAGGGCTTACTCCTGGCTCTGCATTCAAGGCCTGTCTTTTCTAATTGATGTTTTAGGTATACAACAAATGCTTGTCACTATATAGTTATAAAGAATTTTTCTCTTGTGATAAGGACTTTTAATATCTAATTTTCAAAATGCACATTACAACATTATTAGTCACCATGTTGTTCATTTAAACAACTGTGACTTTTTTCTGGGTCTCCCCAGCAGTGCTCAGGGTTATTCAATTGTCTCTGCAGGCCTGAGTGGTACTAGGATCTGGCCATGTGGTATACTGCTGGAAGGCCACCAGACACGTTATTGTTTTAAGTTTTTAAATGTTAAACCTGGAGAATTAAAAACACATTTTATAGCTACTGGTGGTTTGGGGGATAGGACTTGCAGAATTGTTGACCTTTCTCCCCAAATCATCACTATGTCGTAACAGACTCATAAATCTGTAGTCTTGTCAATCCATGCCGAAAAAAAGTCGGGGGGCTGGAATGATAGTACACCTGGTAGCTTTGCATACAGCTGATCTGGGCACCCCATATGGTCTCCTGAGCCCACCAGGAGTGATCTCTGTGCACTGTCAAGGGTGTGGCCCAAGGGGTGAAAATTATGGCTCTTTAAAGTTTCTAATTCTCTTTTGAGATTTCTTTCTTTCAATTGGAGTCCCTTAACATAGATTTTAGCAAATTCACTCTGCACACTTGAAATCTGAGCTAAGAAAAGGCTTCAATAACCTGAAATCAATTGATTTTGGAAGTGCATTTATTGCATATATCACTATCACTACCACCAAATTTTGCAGCTCAGAGATTTCTCAGCAGTTCTAGAAGCTGTTTTGCAGTGGAGAGGAGGTTAGTGCTCCTGGCGCCGCTGAATGTGCCCAAGGCCATCTTAGCAGCTCAACCGTTTCTGCTGCCTGTGATCCCTGCTGCCAAAAGCAATTTTTAGTCACACCAGTCAGGTCTATGTGAACACCACCACTTAGTGAGTTCTACTTCCAGCATGTACCTCACCTAAGTACTCAACACCACATGTATGTATGCAATCCCTGATCATCAAAACAATGGCATTAACAGAGGGAAGAGAAGGAGAACTTATTCTTTTGGGGAATGGGGAGAGGTGAGTTTGGGCCACATCCAGAGGACCTCAGGGTCTACTCCTGGCAGTGCTCAGGAGATCATATGGTGCCAGGAATTGAACTGAGGTCAGCTCTGAGGAAGCAAGGGAAGCATCTCAACCCCTGCACTGTCTCTCCAGCTCAAAACTTTTTTTAATTAAAAAAAGTTAAGTTCGGGGCTGGAATAATAGTGCAGCGGGTAGGGCATTTGCCTTTCATGCGGCTGACCCGGGTTCTATTCCCAGCATCCCATATGGTCCCCTGAGCACCACCAGGAGTAATTCCTGAGTGCAAAGCCAGGAATAATCCCCGTGCATTGCCGGGTATGAGCCAAAAAGCAATAAATAAATAAATAAGTTTAATATAATGATTCATTGTGTGGCTTTGAAAATAACTACTTGAACTCAAATTTGGCTCCACCACTTACTGGCTTATAATTTAGTTATAGATTATTTATCTGTAAAAATGGGATTAATTTTTACAGCATAGTTAGGATAACATGTAAAATGGCTAAAGTTATGCAAAACATGCTTAAGTGTTATTTATTGTAATAACTAAATGAGATATCTAAGTGTCCATCAAAGGAGGTGGGTTAAATTATAATACAATCAACAAAGTAAAAGAGAGAGAAACTGGGACCAGAGCAATACTACAGTGGGTTCATCAAAGGAGGTGGGTTAAATTATAATACAATCAACAAAGTAAAAGAGAGAGAAACTGGGACC